TCCTAGTCAACGCCATTTCCGAATGGGCAATGTCTTGCGCGATGGGGATTTGGTCACATTTAATCCAGAAGCCTTTGTTACAGACTAGCTGACCCGGCAGCCTTCGTAGTGCCTAAACCTAAACCTTTGTATAAAATAAACTTAAAACAAACAAAAGGAATCCGTCCGACGGGGGACACATCAAAGGAAAAACAAAATTGTTATTTTTATTTAATTCCGAACATTTTCATATTTATTTACCTTTTAAACCTTCTCTGGACTTCCACAAATAATTCAAGACCAAAATTAGCCAAATCGATCCAGCTGTTCTCGAGGTTTAGCGAGACTAACGAACAGCAATTCATTTTTATATATATAGAAGAAGAAGAAGATAGTGATGAATGGCCAGAATATGAGGAGTATTAATCTCAAGGATGTTGGGAAGAATATGTATATTAAAGTTGAAAAAGCAAAATTGAACCGTGAAACTGGTTTTAATTTCCGAGTAGGTACAACTGACTCCACCCGATGCCATGTTACTATTGACATTTTAAACGAACATACATTAGCATTATTTTCTCTGATGTTTATTATAGTTTATGTTTGTGTTTCGGAATGTTCTACACAATATCCGCATATCACACTGCTGCATATCACAAGGCCTTGATATGCAGCCCTAGTGTGCGGGGTAGTTCTAATAGCATCTAAAATATAATATAATAAATTTTTTAATTTTATATATTATTTATTATGAGATAGTACGGCCGTGAGTTGCCCTACAGTTCATAACATACCCGATCCTGTGGACAAAATGGTAAACAGTCGATGTCGCGCTAAGCACGTCATTACGGATCCTCCCGATCCATTAACGGTGCTTTTAGGTACCTGAAGCACCGTTCACCGTCCTCGTCGAACCCGTAGCTTGCGACGAAGGGATCGACGAATGAATTAACCCATAGACAAGGCCCATTGAACTTCTCGCCGGATCTTCTCAGTGGGTCACGTTTCCATTCCTGCGGTAGATTCTGCGAAGTACTACTCTTGCTAGGGCCAGTGCTAGCAACACCTCCGGTTTGAGCTCCAAGAGCTCACCTACACGCTAGGGCTGATATAGCCTCTCAAGGCTATTAGCATAGGCAGGGAAAAAACAGTTCATTACGCATATGTATATAGTAATTATATTATGTATATATTCGAACATCGTTTTTTTTTATTATAACAACATCTGAGGCAGCGCAAAAGTGGCCAAAAACCCACAATTTTTCATAATCATGCTTATATGTATATTGCAATTTATTTAAAATATATATATAATAAATTTTGATGCAAAACCGGCTTATCTATAGTTTCACCCATAGATGACTTTGTAAGAAGCTCCTGTCCTGGTGAAACTGGAAAGGCCTTCGGGGCACCAGTAATCTTTCAATCATAAAAAAAAATAACTTTGTAAGAATTATTTTTGCGCGTAATGTGATTTTTGCCTATTCAAAATTGGACTTCATGAAAGCTTAAACCTCATTCCTCCATAATAACTATGGCCACTTTTGCGCTGACGGCCTCATCTATCAATTTTTAAAACTTCAATTCTTTATTGTTATTACAAACACTATTTTTACCGGGTAAAACGATATTGACGCAGCTCTAGAAGCTTCGGCACGCTGCCTAGCACCACGGTCACGGGTGGACAGTGAATTTATAGAATATCTTGAAGTCATATACCAAACATTTTAGACGTAGATACTGACTTCGAAACCGAATATGGTCACTAACCATTACACCGACGGAACGATCATAAATTAAAAGCAATGAAAATAAAATTAATTATATTTATTTAAAGCTTAGACACACAAGAACAATAATAGTAAAGTGATAAAATTTCAGATCAATTAAGACATTTATAATTAATTATACATAATAACATTCACGTATTCTCGTATACTATAGTTTAGATATTTGTAAATATTTGTAAGAAATTAATATGATTTGTTTACGAACACTCTTTATCACATTCACAGTTTTCTTTGTAAATATTTCGTACAAACAAAAATATGCGATAAAAATTTTACTAAAGAAAAGAAAATATGTAAGTACATGTAACAAAATGTGAAAGCAGGAAAGTTATTTCATAGAGGGATAATTAAAAAAAACACGTTGCTATGAAACAATTTTATGTTACAAGTAATATTAAGTTGAATTTTTTTTTTTTATTTCTTACATGGGTGGACGAGCTCACAGCCCACCTAGTGTAAAGTGGTTACTGGAGCCCATATACATCCACAACGTAAATGCGCCACCCACCTTGAGATATAAGTTCTAAGGTCTCAGTATAGTTACAACGGCTGCCCCACCCTTCAAACCGAAACGCATTACTGCTTCACGGCAGAAAATAGGCAGGGTGGTGGTACCCACCCGCGCGGACTCACAAGAGGTCCTACCACCAGTAATTGAATGCTTAAGTTTAACATTTCGTGTTATATCTACCGATGTTTTTTTTAATACGCTTTTATTAGCTTCAGACGTATGTTAGTTAGTATGTAACGGAATCTTTGAACATGATTTTGAACCCCTTCAAAACGTCAGATTAACTCGAAATTTGGTATACTTATTGAAGGCCGATGACAATTCAATATAAAAAATTTTTGAAAAAAATTAAATTCAACTAAAAAATGAAAAATAAATAATAGTTTAAAAAAACTAACAAAATACGCTTTTATAGAAAATCAATTTTAATAAATTTGAATTCAAAATAGAGAAAGAAAAAATGATTTTATTGTAAAAAAGGCGCGGGGTGCATGGTATCAGTAGTTAAAAATATTTTATGAACAGATAATATATTAGTAGAAGGGCCATTTTGATAATATCCTGAAAAGCACCTCACTCTTTTTTACAATAAAAAATTTCTTCTTACACTATTTTGAATTACTCTTACACTATTCTATAAAGGCGTATTTTGTTATTTTTAAACTATTATTTATTATTTTAATATGTAATTAATCTGAAATGTCATTTAATTAGTGAATTATGATTTTGTTCGTTTTCTTTTTCTTCGTGTAAAATTAACACTTATGACCTACGAAAACCGCTTTGGATAGAAAAAAAAAGTATGTTCGCTTGCGACTTATTCGGAATAGAGATGGAATGGAATAGTTTATTTTCTATTGACTTTGATCTTTGAAATTGAGTTGTCATCTTTCCATTAGTCAAACGAGTACATCAGTCGCCTGTTTGAAGTGGTCCGCAGACATAAGCATTGCTAAAGGCAAATCCGCGCAAAGCCAACGGCAATGAAAAAAATAAGTTAGTAAAATTTTTGCGTCTCTAAATCTATCGCATCCCATACCTAACATCTGTGTTCAACTTACATTAAAGACATCACAACAAAATTTGAGTTCAAATACTGATACTTCATAATAAAATACAATCACTTAACCGCTAACGTTGCAATTAAAAATATATACAAAATTGGCAAAAAGTGAAAAAAATATATCTTACTTCAATATTATTAGTATATTAACGACATTAAGTAGATTAATTATAACTAGAGGTACCGCAGTAGTCGAAATTCGACTATAATTAATTGGAATTGTAAGTTTGTACAGTATTATGATTGTATTTTATACTTCTATAATTACTAATTTCGCCACTATAAAAAATATTAACAAAGATAAACAATATTAATCTATTCTCAATTAGACAAAACACGCCAAGAACAAAAGTTTGACAATAAATAGTATGCATACGTGTGTGCGTCAAATACATGGTATGTAGTGTGTGTAATGTTTTCTTTATTGATTTAATGTATGTATTATGCATTATTTAAAAAAAAAATTAGCATTGTGCACTTCTTCTCTATATTCTCTATAAGTGTGCAAAATTTCATACTCCTCCGTCCGCGCAATTTTCGTAAAAAGGGATACAAAGTTTTTGCTTCACGTATTAATATATAGATTATAAACGTCATCAAACAAAAATGTTGTTTTACGAGGAAAGAAATACAAATAAATATTATGAACACGTAATCTGTTTGATTTTTCCTTATCCTTATTCTATAATCTATATCGTTATAAACTTATCATAGTTTTAGACATCAGAGACCAAAGGCCTGATTTTCAGATATATCAATTAGAACAAATAAATATTGTAATAGACTAACATATTTTAAGTAGAATCTAGTTTTAGTGTAGGTAATTACAAGAAATAGAAAAAGAAGATACACGCAGATCAGTACAACACGCAAATAGACCTTATGTCTCTAATGTCAAAGTTTATTACAGCTTACGAGCAACTCGTTTTTTAACCGACTTCAAAAAAGGAGTAGGTTCTCAATTCGACCGTGTTTTTTATGTTTGTTTATGTTTGTTACCTCATAACTTTTGACTGGGTGAATAGATTTTGATAATTCTTTTTTTATTAGAAAGCTGAAACTTCCCGTGTGATTCCAATTTAGTCCAGTTCTGATAATGGTATCCATGAGAAAACAGTATAAGTCTTAAATTTGCATTAAGTACGTGCGCGACAAATAGATGAATGACTCAATATCACGCCAACCGATTTCGATGATTATTGTTTTTAGTTTATATTAATTTGTTTTGCAACATCTTTTTTTTTTCTATTTGAAGCCGGTTTTTGTTAAAGCATGTCTATTTACAATTATCTTGTTCACGTAATCACAAAAATCGCGAATAGATACAATAAATTACTAAAAATCTAACCGTAAGTACCTACTCGTGAACTCAAAACAAATGTGGTTCGGAAAATAACCTAAAAGTATTAACTACATAGTTAGTGCCATTTTGAATCTAGAGCTAATAAGTAAACTGCATCCATACTTTAAAGCCAAAATTCGTTTTCTTTTAACAGTGGTTTAACTGGTGGGGACCTCTTGTGAGTTCGCACTGGTAGGCACCACCACCCTGCCTATCTCTGCCGTGAAGCAGTAATGCGTTTCGGTTTGAAGGGTGGGGCCGCCGTTGTGACTATACTTGAGACCTTTGTACTTATATCTCAAGGTGGGTGCCGCATTTACGTCGTAGATATCTATGGGCTACAGAAACCAGTTAATACCAGGTGGGCTGTGAGCTCGTCCACCCATATAAGCAATAAAAATAAAATTTAGTTGTTCACGTCTTGTGCAAACCAAAGAAATCATCATTTTAAATTCATCTCATTCTCATCATCTCATTAAATTATAATCGCTCATCAGAACTTTTCCTAATTACTAATGGCTTCAATTTCCCCCTCAACTTGACCAGTCTCTTACTGACTTTGGCCGAAGACGCGGGGTTCCTTAAATCGGGCATAGATTTACTTTCGTTTAGCTGTTCGTTCGATTTAGAGACTCCACCATAATACCTGGGCATGCTGAAGTCATTTTCCTTGAACATAATAGCGGTTTTCTCTTTTATACTCTGCAGGCTAGTCTCGCCTTTATATTCAGGTAGGGACGGTCCATCAGCGAAAAATCTCGGTAGGTTAGTACTTTTTATGATAGGAGTGTCGGGTAGTTGACTCAGTTTTAATTCGTCGTTCATCGACATAACGCCGACGATGGATTTGCTTTTTACTAACGGCGGTTTCTCTGGTGCCAAATGTTCAGGAATGTTCAAGAACGACGCGCTTCTGTGCGGTACTCTTGCTAGGACTTTGTTTATTTTTGTAGGGTCGATGTTCTTTAAGCTCTCAACCCTGTTGAGGGTAGGTCGTAGCTTAGATCCACTATCGACTCTCTCTAAAGTCTTAGCGCTGTGGCTTCTCGGTAAATCGCCCTTCTGCCTCAAGATCCCTTTGACGCTTTCCACCCTTGGTAAGGAAAGGGTTGAAGGTAAAGCCATTACGGAAACTGGATCGTATTGGTATACTGGATGCGGTGTGGTTATTTTAGATTCGTCTTTGATAGTAACTGTACTGGGCTTAATCACATCTTGTTTTCTAACTGCGACGTTCATAGTTAGTCCTTCTTCGCCATCTATATCCTGACTCTCCTTGTCGCTTTCTTCTTCTTCGTCAATTTTAAACATGTCGTGATTTGCGAGGAGCTCATCTTTGAACATGATCTCAAAGTCAGTGACCGGAGAGTTGACCTCGTCTTCGAAGTATACCTTAGTTCTATTAGGTTTGTCCGAGAGATAGTCTGGTTCCGATTTTGTTTCAAGTTCGTCCAGCGATTCCCTGCTGCCCTTCGATTTGAGCTCGTGGTCCTCTCTGAATATCAGAGATTTGGAGAACACCTGTAAGTTATGTCTGATCAATGTTTAATTCAATTTGATGTAGTGCATTAGTATAGTGCATTGGGCATTTGAATGAAATAAATGGTAGCGAAATTTACTGGTACGACTCTATTCCCATAGAAATTCTATTTCCATAGAAATTTCCAGCTATTTCCATAGAAAGGCTGCCCGTGTTCGATTTGACCAGTGGGTCAGTCATTAGATTGTAAAATACTATGGAGACTTCGACTTTATGATTTTAAGCTGGATTGCAGATTCACATAATGACGTCAATGGGATCTGGTAATATTTGTGATAGACGAACCGTTTTTTTTTCTGATTATAAAGTCCAATAAAAGAGAGGTCCTTCTTTAAAAACGGTCTTAAAGATTCTTAGAGATTTTTGTCCTCAAATTTCACTCTCAAGTACTGATGGAGGGATTGGTTTTGGTAACGTGACGTAGCAGCGCAGCAATTCATGTGCATTATGGTGTTTAGTACTAAATATCAATTGAGCTGAGTGCTCATCTGCCGGTCAAGTAAACAGTCTCGAACCGGTCCCAAATGAGAGGTATGTGTGAAACAACTACGTTATAGCCGCTACGCTTAAAGCAAAATATTTTGATATAGACACGCCAATGGCTTCAAGATTATATGAAGGACACAGACGAATGTCTGGCAATTTCGTGACAACGCCTTTTAAATTGCGACAATCAATAAGTCGATGTGTTATTATGTTTCGTAAAGATCGGACCAGCTGTTTCGATTTTGATGAAATTATCACGAGATCTTTAGATTGGACCGGATGGTGGATCTGATCAGACTGGCCCGTTTTTTCCCATTTAATCATTGACAGGTTTGCGCTTTTTCAACCACGACCAGACTGATAAGGTGAGCTCACAGGGTTTAAAATGGGAGGAACTGCTGGCACTATCCCTAGCAATAGCAGTGCTTCGCTGAATCTACCATTGGATTGGAATCGCGACACTCTAAGGAGATTCAGCGAGAAAACCAGTGGGTTGTGTCTATGGGCCAGGTTACAGGACGGTGATTGATGCTTGAAGCAACAAGTACCGAGAGTGGATTGAGAGGATCCGATAAAACATGCTTAAGAACGATGGCGTCATTGCATTATCTAGTTATATAATATATATATCCCGTTCTTTTAATAATTTAAATTACACGTTGAGTCTTTAAGGTGATTATTGAACAAGTATTAGATACTCGTGATGGCTTTGAGATTTGAAGCTTGTATTAAATATAACGATACACAGCGGACGTTTTAACTGTTAGACCATGGACCCTTCTCTAATCACAAGCCCATTCTTACAGCTATTACATTTTGTACCTCAAAAAGTTTGTCAGCGTGCAGTGGTATTTCATTGAGTTCTCTGCCCATGATGGCGCGCGGCGGCAGATGATTGTTGTTGAAGGGTTGTTCCGTGACCACGCTGTCGAGGCTCGCCCCCACATTGACATGGCCATTTGCGTAAACTGTGGTCTCGTCTAACCTGGAAATAAGCGTTGAGGTTTCAAATAAAGCCGAATACAATTTAATGGAGCCGAGTCGAGTCTAACCGAGTTTTAAATTAATTTAATTATCATCTAATTATAATCTTCTGCTCCATCTTGGAGACGGATAAACGAGGACGTACAATTTTCTTATCACTGAACAAAGAAATTGTGTAATTAATGTACGTTTTCAGACAACAATCTCTATAAATAAGCTAGTAGTCTTTGTTTAAATATACTTTGTGCTTTAACTACGTTGATTGTTTTATAATTAGTTTAATAGGCACTTGTAAACAGGTTAGGAATGATTTTCTTTAATGTTCTGGATCGGCAGATAAGCTCAGATATTAAGTTGCGCGAGAGTGCTTTGCGGCAAAAACCGGTAGGATGGTGGTAAATACCTTTTTTTATTGCCCTTGTAGGCAGACGAGCATATGGCCCACCTGATGGTGAGTGGTTACCGTCGCCCATGGACTTCAGCAATGCCAGGAGCAGAGCCAAGCCGCTGTCTACCGCTTAATATTCTCCACAAGCCTCGTTTGAATAAGGACATGTCATAGCGCTCGGGAAACACCGTGGAGGGGAGCTCATTCCATAGCCGAATTGTACGTGGCAAAAAAGACCTCTGGAAACGCACTTCTGGAAACGCACTGTCGATGAGCGCAGCGGTTCCAGGTAATATGGATGAACTCTGCTCCGATGGCGGGATGTGCAATGATAAAAAAGAGATGAGGGAACATCTCAAACAATTCCTCAGAGCACTCCCCATGGAACATATGGTACAAAATACAGAGGGAACCGAAGTCCCTCCGCAGACCAAGAGGTTCCAAACGATCCTGTGCATAGAAAATGATTTACGTAGAATTTAGAGATTACGTCTCGCTTGTAACACTCTTCAAAACGACCAGAGATAACCAAATCTGGAAAGTCCTCTTGTAAGGACCCATTTTATCTGAATTATATCTGCAACTATTCGAAGTTGAGACCTAACCATGCAAGCACGTGTGGTAGAAACAGTTTCAGAGTCTTCAGAATTTATTGCTCTACATTTCACAGCTCTTGAATTTACTCTGATCGACTAGACTGCTATTAGACATAATTGATCTTATGGCCTATGGAATGGACTGGTCCACAAATGAGTTGCCGAAATGTCTTTTGCCAATATTTGTTTTTTAACTCTCTTTTTCTTAGCTTATTTGTGTGTGACGGTATCTGTGAATATAATTTTTAGTGACTTGAAGACGTCCTACCTTTCTGGGCTTGGAAAATTTGCACGCGTATCAAGTACTGATGACGATACAATAATTTTACAGCTTCGCTCTTTTAACCAAAACGTTATCAACAGGATGATATCAAAGATGCAAGTAAATTGTTAGTTCGATTTGCTATTTGAAAGTGTTTTTTTATTGTTTCAAACTACAGAATGTGTTACATTATTGATTTGACGCGTGAGTCAGTTCACGTGTGGTCCCGTTCGAAGCGGTTCTAGTGTGCTTAGTGCGACTTTTTTAACGTTCTCGATAGCGTAAAAGTTAACTAAATTTTTTTTATTGCTCAGATGGGTAAACGAGCTCACAGCCCACCTGGTGTTAAGTGGTTACTGGAGCCCATAGACATTTACGACGTAAATGCGCCACCCACTTTGAGATACAAGTTCTAAGGTCTCAGTATAGTTACAACGGCTGCCCCACCCTTCAAACCGAAATGTATTACTGCTTCACGGCAGAAATAGGCAGGGTGGTGATACCTTTCGCTCACTTACGTCAGCAATGTCAAGGTCACAGCCAAGTCGCTGCCTACCAGTCACTGCATAAGTTCGAAAGCCTATTGTATTTTGATTGTTACAGTACCCGCGTGTGGCTTCTCCCGTTGCCTAATTAAAATGCAATAGAGCTAATAAACGAATTATTAAAGATGAATCTCTAATTTCATTCTTATCACCGTATCTCTCGCCACTGATATCCCTGTCATAACAACTATCTAGTGCTATGAAATGTCTACCAATATTCTAGTTTCAAGATAACACAAAAGAAAAGCACCCTAATCAATTAAAATGAGTATTCAAGCCCTCCTCCTTTTTTGAAGTCGGTTAAAAAGTAATAACAAAATAATAATATTATCTCAACGCATTGTGCTCGCGTTTACGCATCATAAATTATACGTTCGTGTAATAAGATTATATGTAAGCTGCAAAACAAATAAAAGTAAGCCTTAACATTAAAGCGCGTAAGTCGCTTTTAAATGCCATTTAGATAAGGCTTAATAAACGAATCAAATACAATTTTAGCCAAGCTTATTTTTATTTTAGTGCCAATCAGAATGTTGTTAGCCGACTTCAAAAAAAGGAGTAGGCCTGGATTAAAATGTTTTTTTTTTGAATGCTGCCTCAGAACTTTTTGTATGCTACCCCAGAACTATTGGAACGAAGTTCCTTATGGGACGATGCAGAGGGGTACTGTAACCGGGAAAAAACGTCCGTAACGTAAGATTTTATGTTTGTTACTCATAACTTTTGACTAGGTGAATCGATTTTGATGATTCTTTTTTTATTAGAAAACTGACGCTTTCCGTGTGGTCTCATTTAAATGTAGTCCAGTTCTGATTATGGTATCCATGAGAAAACCATATAAACCTTAAATTCGCATTAAGTACGTGCGTGACAAATAGATGAATAAGTCTATAACTCAATATCACGCCAACCGATTTCGATGATTATTGTTTTTAGTGTATATTAATTTGTTTTATTTATTTGAAAGTTGCTTGGTGTTCATGTGGTCCCATTAAAATTTTATCAATGTTCTGACTTGTAATTTTTTAATTATCCTACTATCCTTAACATTATAAAATTAAATGTGAAAGTTTGTAATAATGTATGGATATATGTTTGTCACTCTTTCACGCAAAAACTATTCGATGGATTTTGATGCAACTTTACAGTAGTATAGCTTACTTATCAGAATAACACATAGGCTATAGTTTATCAAGATATGGTGTGAAATACCTAAAATATAACCAGTCACCGGAGCCCATAGACATCTACAACATAAATGCCGCTACCTACCTTGAGATATGAGTTCTAAGGTCTCAGTATAGTTACAACGGCTGCTCCACCCTTCAAACCGAAACGCATTACTGCTTCACGGCAGAACTAGGCAGAGCGGTGGTACCTACCCGTGCGGAACCACAAGACGTCCTACCACCAGTAATTACGCAAATTATAATTTTGCGGGTTTGATTTTTGTTACACGATGTTATTCCTTCACCGCGGAAGTCAATCGTGAACATTTGTTGAGTACGTATTTCATTAGAAAAATTTGTACCCGCCTGCGGGATTCGAACACCGGTGCATCGCTCGATACGAATTCACCGGATGTCTTATCCTTTAGGCCACGACAAATTCAAAATTATTCGATATTCATAAATATTCATCAAATTGAGATCGACAAAATGGTATGCACTTACTTGTATGCAGCGATTTTTTTGTCGAAACAAAACTTCTCCTCGCAACAGTTCCAATACATGGTCTCCCAGCAGCTGAGGACAAAGAGAGACATATATGAAAATACTGGTATATATGTATGTTTACATATCGACGCTTGAAAGGCAAACGTGACTAAGCGACAATGCGTGAACTTTACAGTAGACTAATTTAAAGTTGAAATACCTGAAAAAAATTATATTTTAACGAATCTAGCTGTAGGATTGAAATGATTTTAATAGATCCAGAAATATATATTTTTTGCGCATCGAATATGGTTATTGCCTATCATTTATGTACAAAACAGTTATTGTTGCTTAGTCACGTTTGCTTTTCAAGCGTCGATATTTTCAATACATGACTGATTCGGTACACAGTCAATCGACGTCGCCCTAAACACGTCATTACGGATCCTCGCGATCCATTAACGTTGCTTTTAGGTACCACAAGCACCAGTCACCGTCCTCACCAAACCCGTCGCTTGCGACGAAGGGCTCGACGAGTAAATTAACCCACAGACACAGCCCACTGAGTTTCTCGCCGGGTCTTCTCAGTGGGTCGCGTTTCCGATCCGGTGGTAGATTCTGCGAAGCACGGCTCTTGCTAGGGTTCTTGTTAGCAACGTCGTCAGGTTTGAGCCCCGTGAGCTCACCTACTAGTTAAGCTTCCGCTGAAATAGCCTCTCAAGGCTACCATCTTAGGTAGGAATTTTTTTTTTATCAGTCTTGTACCCATAACACAGGGAATCCTAAATGGAGGCCCTACGACCGTGGGTGATTTTGTTCTCCGTTATTATTAATTATTATTCCACTCACTACAGAAGTAGAGTTTTACACTTTTTGGACCCATTGTGCTCATTCAGAATCCGTTTTTTGCCTTTGTGGTGCCTAAAATTTTATTTATTGCTTATATGGGTGGACGAGCTCACAGCCCACCTGGTGTTAAGTGGTTACTGGAGCCCATAGACATCTACAACGTACATGCGCCACACACCTTGAGATATAGTTCTAAGGTCTCAGTATAGTTACAACGGCTGCCCCACCCTTCAAACCGAAACGCATTACTGCTTCACGGCAGAAATAGGCGGGGCGGTGGTACCTACCCGTGCGGACTCACAAGAGGTCCTACCACCAGTAAATCCGGCTTTGATTCCTCATTCGAGCGCTATGAGGGCTTCCTTTGAAACCCGCTCACCCTATTTAAAGAGCCCTCAGCAATACACAGAGGTTGGATAATTAATGTCCATGAATAAAGGCCACAACTTATCCTCTGGAAAACCACGTAGTCTCGAAGTTACGAAGGCAAAAATACAGTTAAAGCGATCGAAAAGGCATATCTTCTGAAACCATGCCTATTATCTATATTTTATTTTACGAGGGCGGCACTGAAAATTTCGGGAATTAACGAAGTGACACAACATTACTATTTAAAAATGTATTTACTGCTTTTCGAAGTATTCTCCGCGAAATTTGACACATTTTTCCATACGATGGAACCAATCATTGAAGCAACCATTCCATTCGGAAGTTGGGGTCTCCAAAATGGCCGTTTTGTAGGCGTCCACAGCTTCTTCAGGTGATGAAAATCTCTGTCCACGCAATTTATTCTTTATTTTAGGGAAAGTATAGAAATCATTAGGGCTTAGGTCGGGGCTGTACGGCGGATGGTCTAATAATTCTATGTTTTCTTGCTCTAAAAACTCTTTTGTTCTGTGCGCGGTGTGAGAACTCGCATTGTCGTGATGGAGGATGATGCGGCGGTTGCAGTTCTCTTTACGGAGTTCAGAAACGACCTGTGGCAAACAAATGCTAGCATACCATTCTGCATTAACCGTTCTTTGTCCCTCAAGAGGAATAGTCGTAACATGGCCGGTTTTGGAGACAAACGTGGCCACCATTTTTTTTGCAACACTCCGTGAACGAACAATTTTTGTTGGCTTTAACTCATTTTCGAACACCCAAACTCGTGACTGGTTTTTTGTTTCGGGTTCGTACGCGTATATCCAGGATTCGTCACCTGATACAATGTTGTATACAGCATTTGAGGATCCTGCGTGGAATCTTTCGAGAGTTCTGACGCACCAAGTAACGCGAGCCGCTTTTTGCTCTTCACAGAGCGAATGCGGTATCCATCGGGAAAACAACTTTTTTACACCTAATTGTTCATGCAAGATTATTTGTATTTGACTCATGCCAATGTCTAAAGTTGCCTGAATTTCGCGGTATGTCACATGTCGATCTTCCTCAATCAGCTTACGCACAGCATCAACGTTTTCTTGGGTGACTGCAGTTTTTGGACGACCTTGACGGGGATCATCACTGAGCTTGACACGTCCACGTTGAAACTCAGCAAACCAGCGATAAATTGTGGTTTTGGATGGGGCTTCATCACCAAATGCAGAAATCATCCGGTCAACACACTGTTTTTGTGTTAAACCACTTCGAAAGTCATAATAAATCATCGCTCTTGAATTTTCTCGAGTCAATTCCATTTTCTCAACGACTAAACAAGTTTGACAAAACCTCGTGACAAGACCCAGAATCTTTTTTTAAATAAATAAATGTTATTCGATTTTTAAAACCAAGGAGTTTTCAATTAAAAAGATTTTAATATGACAGGAACAGTGGAAATATTCCATTCCCGATACTTTTAGTGCAGCCTAGTAAACTAGCGACCCGCCCTCGCTTCGCTTCGGAAACTGTAATTTATTATTGATTTCTCTACTATTTAATGGATGTTATTATACATAGAAAACTTCCTCTTCAATCACTCTACCTATTAAAAAAAACCGCATCAAAATCCGTTGCGTAGTTTTAAAGATTTAAGCATACATAGGGATATAGGGACAGAGAAAGCGACTTTGTTTTATAATAAGTAGTGATAGTGATTGCGTGAAATTACGACATTCTTGTATCAAAGACATGTGATGTCCAGTTAAAATCAAATTGTCTCTTGTCAACTGTCTACATAGCTACTGCTTGTAATCACAATAGATACATCATGTTTGTTGACCTTGATAGATAAGATGAGATCTTTAAGTGTTTGTTGTTCCACACCAGACATGACGGACCATTGTCAACTAACTGTGAGATTGTCATGGTTGCCTACGGTTTTGGTTTTTACTATAAAAATAATAATATATTAATTTTTAATTAACCGACTTCAAAAAAGGAGGAGGTTCTCAATTCGACTGTATGTTTTTTTATGTTTGTTACCTCATAACTTTTGACTGGGTGAATCGATTTTGATGATTATTTTTTTATTAGAAAGCTGATGCTTCCCGTGTGGCCCCATTTCAATTTAGTTCAGTTCTTGTAATGGTATCCATGAGAAAACCATATAAGTCTTAAATTTGCATTAAGTAAGTGCGCGACAAAATAAATAGCTGAATAACTCAATAACTCAATATCACGCCAACCGATTTCGATGATTATTGTTTTTAGTGTATATTAATTTTGTTTTGGAATATCTTTTTTTTTTCTATTTCAAGTCGGTTTTTGTTAAAGCATGTCTATTTACAATTATTATATTATAGTGTATTTTAAATTGCAAATAAAAATTACATTTTTGATATATTTTTAATTATATTATTAAGTATAATTAACTTCTAGACAAAAAGCAATCAAATTCGTGTTTTTTTTCCACTTATTCCAAGAGCATAACCTAACGCGTTCTACCATATACCATTAGTGTCAAAATTAAGACGGAACCCTAAAAAGCATTATGAAATTCTAACTCGGACTTAGTTTTACTTTAAAAATTAACATTGTCGCGCTTGCGTGATAAATGTTTATGCTAAATTCGAGGAAATATTATGATTGGATCACGAATCTTCGTGATGCTGGGTCTTAAATTAGATGGCATATACGTGGCCTTTTTTTGTGTACAAAACATCAAGGATCATTTATATTGTCAGTTGCATTAACCCTTTCATTGGCTTGTAGGTCACGGGTGTCCTACGCGGCGCACTGAAGTAACTATGTCGATTTCTGTTACTAAGCGAATGGATTGCCTTTTTTTTCGGGCCGGGTCAGAACCTCCTACGAGGTATGCGGGACTGGTCCGCGACTGCGAGACCGCGGGCCCAAGGATGTTTTCAGGGCCCTACCCACTAAACGACTCCCCTGCACTCTTCGCCCAAGCGTCCAATCTCCTCCGTGGTAAGGGGGTTACCGCGGTCAACACTACAACCAGACGGCGCCGTTCACCCCAAGGACGCCCGGCCGACGGAGCCTTCGAAGCGAATCGAAGGCTCTGAAACGTCGGCCGTCACGGTAGGGCAGCCCGTCAGGCCGCCCAGACGGTGCCGCTGGTGTCCTGGAATACCCAGCAACCAGCCTGCCGGGTCAGAACGCGACACGCCGCCAACCAGTTGCTCTTTTGCTCCTCGGCCGCGCGCTAGAGTTCTGGTAGCGCGCCGCGCGGCCTCTACCCCCCCAGGTCATCTCGTGAGCTTCACCGGGGGGGAGCCGCCACCTACAGGGGCTGGGACATATAGGCGTAATCCCTCCTCCGGTCCCCGGCTCGACGGCGACGGATCGGTGTGGAGAGGGAAGAGCTCTCCCTCTCTAAACGCCTGTATTGCCTAACTTTGACTTCTTTTGTTTTTAAGGTATATTTTAGTTATGAGGTCTCCTAGAAAGACATTCATTCTCAGTATCTTCGGATTCGTCTTTCCCCGAGTCTACTAGATATTCCGGCGCCTTAGTAAGAATATCGAACAGAGAAATCGACATAATTACTTCAGTGCGCCGCGTAGGGCACCAGTGACCTACATGGCAGTCAATGTTTTTTTTATTGTTTAGTTGGGTGGACGAGCTCACAGCCCACCTGGTCTTTAAGTGGTTACTAGAGCCCACAGACATCTATAACGTAAATGCGTCACCCACCTTGAGATATAAGTTCTAAGATCTTAGTATAGTTACAACGGCTGCCCTACCCTTCAAACCGGAACGTATTACTGCTTCACGGCAGAAATAGGCAGGGTAGTGGTACCTACCCGCGCGGACATACAAGACGTCCTACCACCAGTGTCTACATTATTTAATTTAATCCATAAATACGGAACCATCACAGTACGCTTCCTACTTTCTGTCTGTATCGATAACGATGTCTGTGTACGATATATGGCATAGAACTCACCGAATTGTCTTTCACAAATAAATTATCACAGTATCCTTTGAATTTTCAAAATAAATTTCATTTTCAATTTCGACTTATTAAAATCACTCAATATTCTATTCCCTCAATCTTCTATTTTCTCAATACAGTTTCAGATACATAAGCCAAGGAAAATAAACTTTTCTCTTCCTAAATGTATCACTCAAATATGTCTAAAATTTTAAATTAAAAAAAAAAACACGATTGCTTTGTCTACACAAAATTCACACTAATTAATAAATTACAAAAAAAAAAACACGATCGTATCGTCTACACGAAATTCACACTATTCCATGTAATTTCCATTGAACAGTTTCAGATACATAAACCATGGAAAATGAAGTTTTCTCTTCCTAAGTGTATCACTCAAATATGTTCAAAATTTAAATTTAAAAAAAAAACACGATTGCTTTGTCTACACAAAATTCACACTAATTAATAAATTACAAAAAAAAAAACACGATCGTATCGTCTACACGAAATTCACACTATTCCATGTAATTTCCATTGAACAGTTTCAGATACATAAACCATGGAAAATGAAGTTTTCTCTTCCTAAGTGTATCACTCAAATATGTTCAAAATTTAAATTTAAAAAAAAAACACGATTGCTTTGTCTACACAAAATTCACACTAATTAATAAATTACAAAAAAAAAAACACGATCGTATCGTCTACACGAAATTCACACTATTCCATGTAATTTCCATTGAACAGTTTCAGATACATAAACCATGGAAAATGAAGTTTTCTCTTCCTAAGTGTATCACTCAAATATGTTCAAAATTTAAATTTAAAAAAAAAACACGATTGCTTTGTCTACACAAAATTCACACTAATTAATAAATTACAAAAAAAAAAACACGATCGTATCGTCTACACAAAATTCACACTATTCCATGTAATTTCCATTGAACAGTTTCAGATACATAAACCATGGAAAATAAAGTTTTCTCTTTCTAAATGTATCACTCAAATAAGTTTAAATTTTAAATTTGAATTAAAAAAAAAACACGATTGCTTTGTCTACACAAAATTGACACTAATTAATAAATTACAAAAAAAAACATGATCGTATCGTCTACACAAAATTCACACTATTCATACACGAAACACGTATATTACCGGATTCCCATTTAAACTGAATGGCCATATAACACAATCTTCACAAAATCGTCACATGCTCACCGTATAACCAAAGTGACGTTTAAATGTCAAATTATCTTGACAGATGCCTGACGGTTTTATCGTGATCGAGAGGAAATTTTGCACTTAAACATTACACAGTCCGTTTTTTTGTTATCCGACGCGACAAAGTCAAGTTATTTGAGTTTTTATTTACACAAAAACTAGGTTTATATTCGAACTCAGAACGAATTCAGAACTCTTTTCTAGGCGGATCCTCGTTTAAATTTTATCAAGATCCGACCACTAGTTTTTGAGTTGTCCTTGATAATGTATATTTGATTGACAGGTTCCGTACAACACGGGACTTTGTATGAACGTAGCCATTTCGACAAAGCGACACTACACGAGAACCCTCTCATCGGGGCCGCCGGTAACTACATTCCCGATCCTGCGGACGGAATGGAAAGCAGTCGACGTCGCCCAAAACGCGTCATTTCGGATCCTCCCGATCCACTAACTGTGCTTTTAAGTACCTCGCGCACCGGTCATCGTTCTCGTCGAACGAAGGGTTCGACAAGTAAATTAACTAGATACGGCCCGCTGAGTTTCTCGCCGGATCTTCTCAATGGGTCGCGTTTCCGATCCAGTGGTAGATTCTGCGAAGCATGGCTCTTGCTAGGGTTCGTATATAAGCCGGGACAAGTGGGCACCACAAACCCGTCTATTTGCTGCTGAAGCAATCCCGCTGTAAACAATGAGGCTGTAGCGAAACGGTGAGATTTCGACCTTACATCACAAGATGAGTGGCGGGATATCCATGAACAGCGGTAACCAGTCTACACAATAAAAACAAAAATAAAGTACAGAAAACAAAATAACAAAAAGGACTTACTACTGGCATGATTTACATAGCGTAAGTAACATTTTCATTAGTTACATGTCGAGAGGAGATCGAAGAGAAATTCTTGAATTCAAGGTCGCCTCTGCCGCATTATCATTTCTGTAACAACAAAAAAAAACATATTCTAATAATATATTTAAAGATTATCAAACATCAATAATGAATACATTGAGGTTTAGTTTCTTCTTGCAACTGCTACTCGACCGATTTTGATGAAGCATGATTTTTGGATGCTATTTAAAATACGATTGAGTGCCAGCCCTTATTTACAGCGCCATCTTGCGAGAAAAACGATCAGATCGCGGATTGGATGATTTACGCAAACAACAACAATCACGTTTTAAATAATTATAAAGCTTATAAGTAACTTAAAACTAAAAGTGAACTTTTTTAGCCGCGTTGAGCATTTTTTACGGGATATTTTGATACGGGAAAATCTGATGGGTTCGCGTCACCGACATGCTAATGTTGCGCATGCGCAACGGTTTGTGTACGTGAATACATATAATATATATACATACAATATATACATTATAACGTGTCTGTGTCTAAGGGTGTCCCTGGTATGCCGATGTTACATGAGGCCCAGTCGCGTCACTCCCCAAAAGGTGGTCTATGGGTCGAGAGACACGGGGCCGAGTCGTCCGCCGAGAGCTTGCGAGACGTACTGGCAAACGCAGTGTGGGACGGCCACCCACCAGATGGACCGACGACCTGGTGCAAATTGCTGGGTCACGTTGGATGCAGGTGCCAACGGACCGGCCGCACTGGACATCAGTTGGAGAGGCCTATATTCAACAGTGGACAGCAGACAGGCTGAGATGATGATGAAAATGGTGGTCATTTACTGAGACTTTTTCAGTGGACTTTTTGAAGGATCCCGAGAAGTTACGTTCAGCGGCTTTATTTTATTTTCCCACATTTGTGCACTTTCACAGATACTAAGCAGTTAATAATCCACCGTTACTACACATTTAAACCTGAAGAAACACTAAATAGACAAAATAAAACAAAACACAACTTAACTTCACTCCTCGCATCCCCGCCAAAAAGACCTCACCTGTCTGTCAAGTAATGTCTGGCCGCTAATCACAAGCTGTGACGTTAGGATGGACTATATATTTAAATAGAGTATCTATTCAGTTCCATGACACTTCTAAATAATTCTGAACCATTGTTCGCATCACGGAATGTGAACACAATAGTTCTTTATAATTAACTATTAATCATGGTCGATTTGTTTGCTTTTATATTTTAAACATTCAGCGCCGTGGAGATAATGGAGATATTGGAGATTAGAATCTCTCGGCTTATAATGTGAGATAAAACTGTATTATCTCTGTTGATATTATGTAAGTGAATACAAATAAATGATCGCCTTAAATCAATGGAAGTTATTTTTCGATAAATGACACATAGATGAGCTCTCGGTCAATCCGCTGTCGAGTGGTTACTAAAACAATTGGATGCCAATGGGAAAGTGAAGACCTTTTTCGCCTACCCATTAGCCAGTAGCTTCAATAAGCTATTAGTTCTGGTTGGCTTCACCTCGATCAGTAGAGCTCACAGGGCTAAACCTTAAAGAACCGATTAAAATCTGTCCTACCAAGAGCAGTGCTTCGATGAATCTAGTACCAAATCGCGAACTATTCAGAAGATCCGTCAAGAAACTTAGCACAGTATTCTTCTTCTTCCAGCGCCTCTTCAACCCTGAAGGTTGGCCGTTAGCTTCCTGTAATCACCTCTATCAGCAGTCAGCCGGAACAGCTGTACGACGGAGGCAATACCGGTCCACTCCCGGATATTCCGGAGCCATTTCCTCGTCCAGCACGTCTCTTTCCGTCCACTTTGCCCATCATTATCAACTGCAGCAGCATGTATCTATCGTTCCTGAGCACGTGGCCGAGATATTCTGTCTTGCGCTTTTTGATAGAAGGCAACATTTTCCGGGACATATGAACGCGCTGAATGTATATATACATATACGCGGCATGTTTTAGGTTAATTTGCACGTCAGCGAGAACGGTGAGCTGAGTTTAGCAGGAAGCTGCGATTAACAGCCAGAATAAACCGCTGGTTTCATATATCATCCTTCCCGTTTCTGCTGTAAAGAAATCCTATGTTCCAGTTTGAAGGGTAGGCAGGAGATTTCTAGTAGAATTGAGACTTTCAGAACATATCGCAATGTGGAACCGTATCGACTGTTTTTTTTTATTGCTCTTAGATTGGTGGACGAGCTCACAGCTCACCTGGTGTAAAGTGGTTACCGAAGCCCATAGACATCTACAACGTAAATGCGCCACCCATCTTGAGATATAAGTTCTAAAGTCTCAAGTATAGTTACGACGGCTGCCCCACCCTTCAAACCGAAACGCATTACTGCTTCACGGCAGAAATAGGCAGGGTGGTGCTACCTACCCGTGCGGACTCACAAGAAGTCCTACCACCAGTAAACTTAGGATAGAATACGACTTAGGATACGATTAAGGATATCAGCGACCACTTAACAAGAACTCGATGGATGAATGATATTTAAAGTAATACAGCACGCTAACGTTGGTGAGAGTATTAGGATGGTTACTCATTTAATGATCGAAGGTTAAAAATAACCTTTCTTCGGTAGACCTTTGTTTGGAAGCTTCATAAATTCCCTTAAGCTTATTTCCTTCATTGTTTGAACTTGGACCGGAGCCAATCGTTGGTAATACGTGTTGTGAGTAAGTGCGAGATTCGAAGACGCCACGTTATAAATGATAAGACACCCGGTGGATTCGTATCAAGCGATGCGACTGTGCCAGTGTTCGAATCCTGCAGACAGTTTTAAAGCTTTTCCAATGAAATGCGTAATTAAGAAATGTTAATTTTTTTCCCCCCCTATCTATGCTGATAGCCTTGTAAGGCTAATTCAGCTTCACCCTAACACGTAGGTGAGCTCAAGGGGCTCAAACTGGAAGTGTTGCTACTACTACACTGGCCCTAGCAAGAGCAGTGCTTCGCAGAATCTACCACCGTATCGAAAACGCGACTCACTGAGAAGATCCGGCGAGAAACTCAGTGGGCTGGCATTCTCCTACACTCATCTAAGGTAGCTTCCGCACTGGTCTCCATTTGGTCCGCATAGATGAACTCCCGCGCGATCTTGTACCACCCACCTTCCTTTTCACGTATGTATGTACCGATATGTACCGATATCTGTGTACTTAGTGCGAGTTTTTTAAAGTTCTCGATAGCGTTAAAGTTAACTCATATTTGTATGCAGTTGGAACAGCGCCCCTAGCGGCAAACGTAGGCAAACGTTCCAACTCCATATGAATTTCAGTTAACTTTTACGCTATCGAGAACGTTAAAAAATTCGCACTAGGCACAGTGTAGAACAATCTTTGGATCTGTGTCTCGTGACTTGTGTCGGATTCCGGCTGTGACGTCACAGTCAACCGGTTCCACCGTGTCAACTAAGATTAGCGCAATAAAAATAATAACACCCGCTTTCAATGTAAAACGGAATTAGATATTACATAAATATTTCCTGGTCGAGATACTGGATTAATATTATTGGTCCTTCGAGTCGATCGGAGGTTTCAAAGTTTGTGAAAATTACGTTAGATTCAATCATTATCCCTTTTTTTTTCCTACCTGTGCTGATAGCCTTGAGAGGCTATTTCAGCTTCACCCTAATGTGTGTAGGTGAGCTCACGGGGCTCAAACCGGAGTGTTACTAACACTTGCAAGAGCCGTGCTTCGCAGAATCTACCACCGGATCGGAAACGCAACCCACTGAGAAGATCCGGCGAGAGACTCACTGGGCTGTGTCTATGGGTTAATTCGCTCGTCGAGCCCTTCGTCGTAAGCGACGGGTTCGACGAGGACGGTGACCGGTGCTTGTGGTGCCTAAAATTTTATTTATTGCTTATATGGGTGGACGAGCTCACAGCCCACCTGATGTTAAGTGGTTACAGGAGTCCATAGACATCTACAACGTAAATGCCCCACCCAACTTTATATATAAGTTCTAAGGTCTCAGTATAGTTACAACGGCTGCTCTGCCCTTCAAACCGAAACGCGTTACTGCTTCACGGTAGAAATAGTCAATAGTTTGGTTACCTCTGTCTATGGATATCCCAATACCGCCACTCATCTTGTGATGTAAGGTCGAAATCTCACTGTTTCGCTACTACTTTACCGGTGGTAGGACCTCTTGTGAGTCCGCACGGGTAGGTACCACCACCTTGCCTATTTCTGCCATGAAGCAGTAATGCGTTTCGGTTTGAAAGGCGGGGCAGCAGTTGTAACTATACTGAGACCTTAGAACTTATATCTCAAGGTGGAAGTCAATCGTGAACATTTGTTGAGTACGTATTTCATTAGAAAAATTGGTACCAGCCTAAGATTCGAACACCAGGTGGGCTGTGAGCTCGTTCACTCATGTAAGCAATAAATAAAATAAAAAAATCAACAGTTCGATGTTTTTAATTGAACTTCAATTAAGTTTACTCCATTCCTCCACTTCAAGTTTTTTTTTTTTGTTTCGAAGGTTTTTCCCAAATTTTAAACTTTAAATGGCTCTCTAGACATACCTACATACTTAGTAATATCCCTGAAGAAGTTAATGAAAGCGTATTAAAAAAAAAAAGAACCAATCAATATAGGTACCGTTCTGAGAACGATTTTGTTTTACACCCCATTTTTAAACTTTCAAAATGTCATGGTCATTACGACTTAATAAGTCACCAAAGTGGGTAGACGACCTTTAAAATGTCATTGTTTATAATTGCCCTTAAGTTCAACGACCTTGTCACAATATTATGTAGGTTAGTTTGCGTGGCCTTTATTTGCATACAATAGCTTTGTTGCAGGGTCTAAAAAAACCTTCACTGACCAGATCTGCGTCTGTCTCTGAAGAGTGAAAATAAGCGACTAACCTATTCAAAATACTGTTAGCTCATGTTTTATATAATACTAGCGGCCCGCTCCGGCTCGGCTCGGGTCTTTAACAAAAATTTCAACGATATTTGACGTTGTTTTATTTTTTTAAATAAAAAAACACTTATTGCGGCATAACCATAATAGTTAGACATATGCTGCCGCGACACTTTTCGTTA